TTTCTATTTAAGAAGAATAACAAAAATGATTCTTTGTTTGAAGCTTTAATCTTTTTAAAAAAATTAATATTTTTTTAAACGTATTTTTCCATTATTTTATTTTTAATGCTTTGGGTTGATACAAAATAAAATCTTCCTTGATTAATCGATTTTCTGTTTTGCTAATTTCACTCTTAAAACAACAGTAAATTTGGAAGTTGATTTTACAGTTAGCTGTATAGATTCTTTACAATCAACAATACATTAATTTGGCTTTTTTTTTCCTGATAAACCAATACAGTAGTTTTTAATAGTTGATAATAGGAAAAAAACTATAGAAATAATTCAACAACAATCAATAGCTAAAATTGCTTAAGTGACAAATTTTCTTGTTGTTTTTTTTCTCTTGTCACAGTTAAGATTTTTTCAGTATTTTCTTTAAAGTTCTGAAAAAAAAAACAACAACTTTTCTTTACGTGACTGCTGAAGGAAACTTGAAATGTACATAAAAAAGAGTAACAACAAAAAGATCCACAAAAAAAAAAAAAGGAAAAACAGCAGTAATCAACGATAATAAAACAACCAATTTGAAAACTTAAATCATTGAGATTTTCAAATTAAATTAAAATGGCTTAGCTGATAAGCTATCATTTGCAGCTTTGTTCCACCCTTTTTCGTTCTGTTTTTTTTTTTTTTATTCTGCCATTCCTACCTATTTGATCGAATGACAATTCTTGATAGTGAGCGAAAAAAAGGTCGACTAAAAGACAAAAATGAGAGAGAAAAAAAAAAAGCTTTTGGGGTTGATCGTTTCTTTTAACATTCAAAAAATCAATGATCAACGTTGGTCAACGCTGAAACGCTGAAAAAGCAATAATTGAGGATATATTGAATATTTATTCAGATTCTGTTTAGCCAAGATATCATCAATTTTTTAGCAGCTCAGATAGACCCATAAATTTCTAGAATGATGCTTCTTAGCCAAAGCTTTATGGTAGCGTAAAACATTCATCGATTTCACTGTCGACAAAAGCGCCTTCTGATAATTACAGTCAGTGTGTCATAAGGCCTGCATTTTGTAACAGTGAAATGCAGCAAGAAAACATAAACCAACTAATAGTTGTTGGTTTTGCAAAAACAAGAAAAAAAAATTATTCAGCATAGAATAGGGAAAATAATTGTTGCAAAAAAGGTTGTTGTTTTTCGTTTTTTTTTTTTTTTTCATTCTGTCAAATAATAACAATGACAAATTTTGTTGAGACATTTTTAGGGCGGTACATCGAACTAAGGTAAAACTTGTGGTTACCAACAAAACTTTAGTACAGAAACTTTAGAAAACAATTATCAGTGATAAAATACACACACTTTTTCCACCAAAGTAAAAAAGTTTCCCTTCTTTGATCGACAACAACAACCAACAACAACAACAACAACAACAACAACAACAACA